AAAGGGACAATAGATTTTCTGACGATATGAGTCCCAGAGCTTGAGGAGCTTCAGCAGATTAATTGATAGTGAAATAATGAGAGCTTTTAACCACTCTGCCTCACTAGAGGACTCCTTCTCTCTCATATGCTTCTATTAGCTTCAGGATGTCTCTTTCTCTCTACCCTGCTCCGCCAATGATCTTTTTTCTTTATTCGTCTTGATTTCTCTCTCTACCCTTTGCCTAATTCATGCACTTTGTGACTGTGAGTGCTCTGCAATTAACATTGGAGTAAATCTACTCTAGGATAGACATTCAAGTATTTGTGCACAGGAAAGATAAAATACTTAATCTGAGATGACAAAAAAGACAAAGACAAAAAGAGAAAATGGTGAAAACTGTGGGGATAATGTGTTGTATATTCTATCAATGCTTTCTGTTATTCTTGAGTAACCTGTTGTACCACCCCTTGTGGATAATTAGAGTTAACATGGGTCTTTTTTTTTGTAGTTTTGGACTTATCCTGCGCCATAATTTGTCCTTGGTAATAAGGTTTCCTTGCTCTGCCAGACTCCATTGTTGCGATGTCACCATGTTCCCAGTAGGCCTGCATCATATGAAGAAAATCGATGTGCGATAACACTGTTCAATTGTGCAATGATGATATGAATGAATATGAAATAAACAAATATTGAAGCGTACTTTGGCTATACAATTCATATGTCAGCTTAGTTGTCTTTAAATTCAGAACTAGATTAGAATTGAATACTTTAAATATAACAATGTGGTTTCTAGAGGTTTACAACAGCAAATTCACTATATGAACAGAATAATATCTTACTGGAAACAAATCTAAAATGTCAATAAAATAAATCATATTCCTGACATCACAACACTGAGTGAAGTTTATAAAGAATGAAGAACACAGTCAGTCAGTATCAGTCATTCATCCTGTTCTTTGTCCTCCTCTGATGTGATTCACTGCCTGCAGGTAACACTGGGGAGAGAGGAGGGGCTGGTTTGTCTCAGCCAGCAGCTACGTTTAAAACAAGAATTTGCCAGATTTAAAGATAGATGGCAAACTACATATAGACAGCTTCCATTTTAGCTTCTTTAACAATTTGGTATTAGCAGAGTTAGCACACTGTGCTTGTGTTAATAATAGCGGAGGTGGATAAGAGACCAGATATCGCTTCTTTGCATGGTTACACTTGTTGAATAGGTGTATTGATAAAGCATTGCATTTATTTTGCATGTACTTCCAATAACAAGCAAAGCTGTCGCCAACTCGAGTCATTTTCAAGTTTACTTTGTTCACTCCTCTCTCGACCGCAGACTCTCTAATCTGGTCTGTCCACTGATTTATCTGTGTGTGTGTGTGTGTGTGTGTGTGTGTGTGTGTGTGTGTGTGTGTGTGTGTGTGGGGCAAGCTGCAGCCCCGACATTGAGCAGATGATAAATACTATGGTCTTAAGCACTGGGGCCTGTTTAATGCTGTGTTTCTGTACTTTTCCCTAAATAGTTTTTCTTATTCAATGCAACAGGCAGAATGCTAACATTTGCTAATTAGCACTAAACACAAAGTATATATCAGGGTGAATATTATTAGTTTTTCAGGTATTTAGTTGTAAACGAAAATATTGGACCAACTAAAATGTTGACCTCATGGTAACGCTAGATGAAAAGTCAGAGGATCGCCAAAGGTACGACGATTACCTTGAGGCGGACATAAATGTGTATGCCAAATTTTATGGCAATCCTTTAACAAGTTGTTGAGACATTTCACTTAAAAAAGCCCAAATGTAAGCTTCATGGTAGCGCCACAGGGAAAGCCCGGGGCATCACCAAAGAACACAAATGTCTGCACAAAATTTCAGGGAAATCTATTTAATACTGGTAGAGATATTCCAGTCTGAACCAAAGTGGTCGCTTGGCCTAGAGCTATGCCTCATGCATGGTTAAAAAATGTAACTCCTATTCTCCTGGTAAAAATAAATGCACAACAACATGAAATGCCACAAATTCACTCACACAGATGACAGACCATATGGTCACATTAGTCACTAGAAACTTCACTTCCCACACATATCTTGCCAAAAGACTAATTCACTTATATCCTCAATGACTTGCCAAGGTAACACCCATAGACTGGCTAACCAAATAAACGATGGTGAGAAGCACAAACAAATGAGAGCCACATCATGCCGAAAGGAATGGAGACATTCATTAAGCTAAGGGCTGGAGGAATGGTAGCAGCAGGGCTCCGAGCACTGCAGCAGGAAGACAGATGATCTCTGAGAAAATGAAGGGAACACCAACTGTACCTGCAGTCCCTGGAAACTTTTCCTAATCAACTTAGTGTATTTGGACTAAACAGAGTGTGAATTGAGGTATATGCAGGATATGAATGAGAGACAATGGTGCTTATTCAGGTGGACAGAGTTTTATAAGGCAGTCAATTTACTGGCTACAGAAACACATTTCTGTAGATTACACAAACAAAAGGACACACTTGCAGAGAAACAAAGCTCAGTGTTGGGGTGCAGGCTTACGGGCCAAATTCCCATATAATTGGAATTGGCCAGTGTAACCCTGGTGCATAAACATTACAGCTGTTTATGTTCCCCTGTTCTCCTCTCCTCCACTCCATGTGACCTCATGCATGAATAATGATTAAAAACATGAACAGAGGGGAATATGTGCACATTTGGGTACTCATCAAAGTTAAAGTGTATCCGTTTTATTCTTTTATTCAAGAATTCCACCACACTCGCTCGGAGCATGTGTAAAGCATATGTGCAACCCGCAGTGGACCCGTTTACAAGTCTTTCACTTTCGCTGGGGCATTCCAAAGTGTTAAATGTCAGTAATCTGGATCAATAATCCAGACTGTCTAATCAAACACTAAATCCAATGGCCTGCAGACAGATTTAGTAATGAGCTCAGTTGTTGTTGCCATGTGCAACAGTGGTAGAAACTGACACATCTCTGGTGATGGCTACGATATGCTCGTAGGCTTGGCAGAGCACAGCAGCAGCTGTTCTCATGGCCTCCTCCAGCGGCTTTCACATGGTCTTCTTTAGTAAATCAAAACTCTTTCTTTTAACTTCTTATATGGTTCTCTTGGTGAACATAACATCAGTCACCTTCTTTGTGCTCTCCCTCCGTGTCATTTTTTACTGAGGCTGTAATGTCTCAGCTTGTTTTAAAAAAGAAGGCTATTTTTCTTTAAATGATGTATAAAGTATTACCTAAATATCTGCATCACTTAAGTTATTTTTCATCTCTTCTTTTAAAGTCCAATTGGTTTCAAGGCTTATAGATGTGGGTGTTTCCTAACTGCCTAATATGGCATCTCTGAGGTGATGCAATTATGGTAATTGATGATAATTAAGGTTGCATGAGCGTGCCTCACATTTATGAGTGATTATAATTCATCAACATATGCATGAATATGACTGACAACAGATGCCTCTGAACATTTGATGAATTTGGTTTATAATGTGTCTAATTTGCAATTACGATTATTAATGTACGAATGTTTTGTGAATAACACCCAGTGTCTGTGCTTACACCTTCTAACAAGCTTCCTATGCTAAACCCTCCATCATGTGTCTTCATTTAAAGGAATAGTGACATTTTGAAAAAGATTTGCTTTCTTGCCAGGAGTTAGATGAGAGGATTGACGGCACTCTCACGTCTGTACAGGAAACCAAAATGGGGCGTTGGGTCAAGACGCGGAGATTGGACGTGGGTTTATAAAACTTTGCTGAAGGCCTAAGGAGTTAAGTACATGGGCACAAATAGCTTAGAGTCTTTTAAACATATTCATCTGTCAGCCACACGGCAGGGGGGTGGCAGCATTTGTGTTCTTAAGACTGGAGGGTAATCCAGTCACACAAGCTGAATAAGTCTCTCATCAAAAATATGTGTGTGTGTGTGATATGTGGACTAGCAACTTCCATACAGTTTAATTATGAACACTTAACAAAGTCATAGTTTATATCAGCATAATTGAGGTAATCTAGGTAACTGAAAGGAATAAGCAATGAGGGCTAACTTAACACAAACTATTTCTTTAACATAACGTCACATAGTCTCTACAATTTCCAATATATTGTGTTTACTTGGGTAAAGTTCTTTCACAGGAGAGTATCTGCAGCACAGGGAGAATTCTGTTGCCTGTCTGCACTGGCGTTGCAATGGCGATAATAACTGGCTCAACAACAAGCACACTGTCGTTATTTTCTACAGCTACTGTTAGCTTCGCACAAAGATTCGAAACAGCTAATCTAGCTCTGTTGAAGGGTAACAAAATCCACCTACAAGCATTTCAGGTTAATTCATTTTATATTTTTTATTTTACCTTTGTTTTACCAGGCAAGACAGAAAGAACAATTTCTTATTTGCAATGATGTAGACGTTAAACATTAAAATATTTATTGGCTGGGTGCAGTAACTTGCGTTAGTTGTCAATGTAAGTTTTACAGGCAACCGAGTAAAGACATACCGCCCCTGGCCAAGAAATAGTCCTGCACTTAACCCCCCAAAATACTGCAATGTGTTGTGTTTACAATTTATTTATGTACAGATCAAACAAAAAAGATACAAGATACTAATTAGTGAGTTTTAGAGGCGCTGGTAGGCAGATTTTGTCACCTTCGGGTGGAGCCAGGCTCGCCGTTTCCCTGTTTTAAGTCTTGGTGTTCAGCTAACCTGCTGCTGGCTGTAGATTCATATTTGCAGTACAGGCATAAGTGGTATCAACCAAGCAAATAAGTGTGTTTCCTAAAACATCAAACTAAAAAACAACTCATAAATCCTCTTATTCACCCAGGGACATTGTTATTTGATCACTGGTACATTATGTCCAGTTATACTACGTTAGTAACCTTTTCAGTCTTTAATTAAGTGTAACCTTTTCAATTGTGATGAAGTGTAAATAAAGAAACAAATAAAGAAATAACACATACACCACTCACAAAAAACCACACATGCACCAGCAGAAATGTCTACTAACCCTGAGATTGTGCGGCGACTGAATTGGCAGTCCACTGACTTCCACCTGTGCCATGTCATCTGCATGTGCGCTGAGCCCGTGGATGAACATGACTGGACTGGTATACTGGACATCTCGCTGAGGAGCCAGATTCAGATCTCCGTCCACGTGAAAGCTGGGGTCCGACACCTCAAACTTCACGTCCTCATTCCCCGCACAGTCATCAAACTCGACTGGAAGAAACACACAGAATTGGGTTCAGAATTGTTATGCCCTATCTCCGAACAAATAAGAAAAAACTGATATGTCAAGAAAAATCTGCCATATGAATCACAGTCACTGAGGTAAACAGGTAAAACTCAGATATAAATGGATACCCTGAAGATAAACAGATACCCCGAAGAAAGAGTGGGATGTTCTGAAAGGCTCTGTCAGGTAGGTTACAATAAAAGTCACTGATCTCTATTCACAAGCCTACTGCAATATTTATGGCCCATTGCACAATATGCTACGCATTGTAGACTTATTAATGTGTCTGACTTACTTTTGGAGAGCTGTTGCATTTACTACAGAGAATGCAGTGGCACCCAGCTGCAAGAGCGGATGAGAAGAAGGGATTTAAGGTACAGGAGAAGAAAAGTGTCACCTCTGAGTTATGTGCATGTGACGCGTGCACATGTGAGCTTGTCTTGTCTGACTGAGGGAGATACCGCCAAGGACTCCGCCAGGCTTTATCCTTTCTGATCATGTTCATCCTCTCTTTATCTCTCTCACACACTCCACTTGGTGTCACGACATGATCCCTCCCCACCCTTCATCCTCAGTCCTGAAAATCCTCCCCTACCTCATCCTTCATCTCCTCTTTACCTCGGCCTCCCGTGATGCTTTCTTTCTGTTTTGGTTCGAGGAGGGAAGGGTCCCAGAGGAAGTCTGCATGCGTGGATGTGTACACGTGTTGTTGATCAGTAAAGCAGGTGCAACAGCAATCACATGGTACTGTACAAATCTCAGTGTGGGTTTGAAAGTGCAGAGAAATTTCAAACTTCAGACGAGCCTGCTGCAAACATATGGTAGCTTATAAGTCTTTATTATTTCTTTTTAAATTCTGTTTCATATCAGAAACTGCCTGCAATTTAAAACATGGCATATAGGATATTCCATATGGCTATCATTAATAATGCAGCCACATGTTTCTGAGTCTGAATTTTACAAGTCTACGAGTCTACAAAAACTACTAGTAAGTTCATCGCAAAAACAAGGAAAAACTAGTTGATTTTATTTGGCCACTCCACTGTGAATATCTCTATATCCTGACTCATCAATTATGGATGCGATTCTTTCGGCTTAACATAACACAGAAAACTCTGGTAGCTCATGACCAGCTGAAGGAAATTGTTCATAAAAGATCTGGAAAGCTCTCATCAGTGTGATCTGTTCACATTGGGGACTAGGAGGCCATCTTTCTTTTGAGGAAGAAATGGGTTCAGTTTTGAGCCCATATTTATCAAGTTTCTCGGAGCAGCTTGTGGATCGGTGGTGCCTCTCTGAAGATAAAGCACAATTCCCAGTGCAAGAGGCTGTAGACTTTCTCTACTGAACCAGCTCATTAAAAGTTGAAACCAATATATATATATACTGGAAATTGCAGTTTTCAAATAAAAATGAAGGATCAGTAATAGAAGGTGTCAGGTAAATTTGCATTTTCAAAATGTATCAATTGAGCTGTCATTTTTAATGTACTGCTTTCAGGCACTACTTTTCTTTAGGCTGTATGTTCTTTAAAGTCACAAACAAGATTTTCATAAAATCAAACCCAATGTCTTATACTTCTATGGTTGGCATTGTTTCAACAATAGTCATTCTACATGTACATTCTATAACAACTTCTATATACAGTAGTTTCATGGGAGTCCACCATTCCCATGCAGGATTCAAACTACCTACGTATTTACACAGAAGGGACTAACAAGAAAAGCAAGCATGTAATCCAGTGTTACTGTTTTCAATTGTATCTAAAATCAGTCTCACTATTGTTGTTTACTCCCAGTATCAGAGCTATATTAAGTTATTGCTAATATAAATCCTACCTATCCTATCACTACCTTCACATTAAAAAGCACTGAGCGGCTATAAGAAGTGGTGGCTTTTATGGTGAAGAAGCTACAAAAATGCATGCAAAACAAGACCTGGTAATTTTGTGCATTTTTTGACAGCAGATCAGTTTTAAGTATTGCAGCGACTAATGAAGAAGGATCAGCCATATTGAGCTGTTAAATGAAGAGGTGCAGGTGACAGGCTACACACCTCCAACTTTTCAGCAAGGTAATCACCTTTACTCATCCTTGTTGTGAAACTACTTGCAAAATGTGTGCGAGAAAACTGATCCCGGTTGCTCATGGCATGATAGAAAAAGCTGTACACAGCTGTACCAGTTGCTCTTTGATTGTATTTCTGACAAAGTAGCTGCCCAGGACTATTGTTTGTCCATCCAGCTCTTAATTTCAGGAATAATGTGTTGACTAAGACAACCATCACTGTTTTTAAATCTAAATAACTGATAATCCAAATGCATACAGATTACCACACAGGAGGTGAAAGGCTGTTGTTCAGTTCGAGCACAATGGCAACCCACTGTTGTAACACACACATATTGTTCTCCTGCTAAGAGCGCTGTAACTGCTATTGTTCATAGCAACGTTTTACCTTGTAGAAACAATGACTGTGCATCTGACTTAAACTCATCAACCCGTACACGTCTATATGCCATCAAGCCAGCAGCAAGTGAAATGGAAAAAGTCTATGGTTAGCACTGCCTGGCTATAAAATCAATAGACTGAAGTCTATCAAAGCACTCATTTAGTACACTTAACCTTTGTGACTGTTTAGTCTTGCTTCTTTTATCTCTCTCGCTGCAGACATTTTTAAATCTTCCCTCTGGACAGAATCATTTTCTGCCATCTGGATGAGGGTAAGAAGAAAATACCAGAGTGAAGAATAGAGAAGAGGAGAGAAGAAGGGAAATGAGAAAAAAAAAAGAAAATGACAGGAAAGGCGAGGCTTCAATGGACACTGAGGGAGAGCTACAAAGTCAACAACCTACTCTCGAGGGAAACAAGGCTCCATCTCAATATTCAACTCTCACTTCTAAGCCAAAGCATGAAAGATGTGTTCATTTCCATTCCCATTACAAGCCACAGATTTATTTCAATAACATCGGCGCGCTCTTTAGAGCCTGCAAATTGCAGCGCCAAACAGTGTCAGTGGCATTTCAAAGGCAGCCAGAGAGTGTTTGATGGTATTCTAATGTTGTCAGGTTTGGGGGGATTTCAGAAGAGAGCATGGTGAGCTGGCGGCTTTGAAGTCAGGCAACAATGACAGAACGCAACTTACCCCGCTCACCACCAGCACCACCACGCACCCACTCTCTTTCTTCAGAGTGCTGGCTCAGGGTTGAAATAACTGTGCACAACATGGATTAGGGTCGCCAAAATCCCTCACTGATGACTCAAGAGGAGAAGGAGGGTGGGTGGGTTGGGGAAGGGGGGCGGTTCTCAAGTTTTTCCTCAAGTTTGACATTCAAGTTCCTTTCAGGCCAACCTCCCGTGGAGCCTGTGAGAGGCAAATGTTCCAGAAAGTCAGTCACCTTGGGCCATGGTTACTATTCCATTAGCTCTTTTGGCACCAAAAAACACCACTTCAGAGTTCTCATTTAAGCATTTAGAGAGGAACACTACATTCTTCAGGATTTGTAGTATATTCAGAGAAGTCAGACACCTAATTGAATAATTTAATTTCAATAACAAACAAACAGAGCAAATTACATGTAAATATTGTCTTATTCAGAAACTGAACATGAAATTCCTCCATGAAGTTATATAACTGTCTCTGTATATTCAAAAAAATAAATATAGGTTTTGGTCAATCATCATGTCATCTTCTAAGAGATCAAACATGATAACTACTCGAAAAACTGCGATCTAGATTTTCTGCCTCTCAATGATGAAGCAACATATTTTGACATCCAACATTATCCAGGCATATTCATTGGCTCCACTCTCTTTGTCAGCCACACAAATTGGATTTTCTTTCCTCCTCTGTCAGGTACTAAAGTTTTCCTTTGAGGTGTTTTGAAGACAATTTTCTGTCTTGTAACTAAATGTCAAGTCTCCATGATGGGAGAGATGGGAATCAGAGGAGTAATCTCAAAAGTGGCAGCACGGGTGTGTTTGAGCTGATAGCTGCCGTGTCTAACCAGACAGAGTGTGCTCAGTCTCATAAAAAAGGCTCAGGAGAACACCATTCTCAAATAATCACCTGGCATTAGAGAGGGAGCTGCTTTTGAAAATGTATTTACACCCTGAATTGCATTTTACCCCAGAGTTTCCTATCACCAAGCATTGTGTAAGACCCATTATTGGGATTCAGTAGTAACAAGACTTGAGCTTTTCAGCTACAAAGATAACGGTTTGACGAATTTTGCCAACTAAGGGGGTCCTGACGGCATAATCTTTCATCTTGAGTTTAACAGATGATTAAGATCCCCCACATCCATCTTCACTTTTGCCACTACAGCCAATTCCATCATGTCAGATGTGGGATTGCTAATCATCGGGTAAAGCAGGAAAGTGTGTAAGATCCAAGTTGTTAGCAAATCACATGCCATTTTTCATGTCACTCACAGCAGGGGAATTATATCCTGAGTTTGTCAGTGTAAGAGTGGTTTTAGTGCCCTTGATCATGCTTTGATGTATGGCACTGTCCATCGCACTGGTAAAGCCAATTAAAGTACAGTTACTGTCTGATCTGAGTTCACGCAGGACTGTTAAAGATCAGCCAAGCATGTTTCAACTTATGTGCATGTTTTAGTTTTGAGTGGAATATGCAGGTGTTCCAATATCAAAATGGTTTTAAAGAAAAAACTAAGTGAGCCACCAAAACTCAAAACACATGACTGGAACATGCAATAAATTCAATACATTCTTTCATTTCTTGTCAAAGGCTTTGATCTGCTGTTTTTTTTATGCTGTTAAGGGATTGTTTACACCAGTAAACAGAGCAGTTATAAAAGTCAGTATTTTAAATTATAGTCAGATGAGAATAAAAAACCCCAAATAATTTAAGTGTTGTGTCCCCAGTGTTACCCTCATGTATATATGTACACAACTGCTCTAACCGGGTTATGTTTAAAACTGGAATTATGCTAATTAGGCAGTGGATTTAATTGGCTTTAAGA